TGATGAGCTGGCAGAACAACACGAAAACGCACACTAATAAACAACAGGCATCACAAATAATTATACAATTACAAACACAGATCACCCACACTCCGGTTCCCAGGGGGCCACCCTGTTAGGAACCCGGTCTAGGGTCCGGTGCCACCGCTACTGTACTAATAATATTTTAATAATAATAAATAACATTACTCTATACTATCTCGTCACTTATACATGTTACAGCTAAAGTATCAGGGTTTGTGATTTGTCTGTGTTACTGCCTTACTGGATCTTACTACACTATAACGACATTGGCCAGTCTATCAAATACAGAGCAGCATTACAGGCAGACCAGTAGATACAATAATGTAACCCAACAAGAGTAGGGGTAACCTAAACCAACCAGGCTCTCCGACTGTTACACGTCATAGGCCAACTCTCGCCAACGTAGTGTTAAACGAGAAGGGAACTTGTGGCTAGGGGTAACCCTACTCTTGTTGGGTTACATTAGTGTATCTAGCAGACTAGATGCACTATAAAACATTGGCACTACCACTGTAATACAAACACCTCAACGCTCACATGACCAGACCAAAGAATAAAACAGTAGGCCTAGTAATGCTGAGAGGGTCTATGTCCCCCAGGGTACTGCCAGAACGTACCCTAGGTACGGTCCGGAACATACCCGGCCTGGTACTATCTAATATGCCGGACCGTACCTCGCCTACTCCACTAACGAGTCTAGGGATTGAGTCGCCTACGCCTACTCCCTAACCCTAACCCTAACCATATCAAATAGTTACCAGGGTACGTTCCGGTAATACCGGACCGTACCCAGGGTACGTTCCGGCAGTACCCTGGGGGACATAGACCCTATGAGCCCTAGTATTACACATTATGATTACACATTAATCATTACACATTATGATTATCCATTAATCATTGTGTTTTTTTACAAAAACCTAACACAAACCAATGAAACCATGCAAGTTACAACTTAGTTAACCACAATAAAGTTAACAAACCTGTGAGTCCTGGTTTCGTAAGCATCGCCTCCCATTCTTCCTGTGTTTCTATTTCTACCTACGAATGATATAAATCAATGGTTTACAAAGTTCAACAAGAGCGTGGTTACAATTTACGATTGACATTGTCATTATTATGAATCACTCAATCACTGAATCAGCTAGCTCTAGTACTATAGCCCGCGTACAGTTGCCGCTGCCGCTGCCAGTGGCAACTGTACGCGGGCTATAGTACTACTACTAGAGCTATGAATCAGCTACATTATTTATCATTCACACGCCACATTCATGAAATGTTCAAATGGGGGTTAACCTTAAATAATAAATAACAGTGGCTATTAAAAGGTAATGGGGTGGATCAACCCTAATCTGTAATCAGAACGCAGACAATCGAATCCCACTCCGTGCACTCACCTGAAAAGCTGCGTTGTCTTTCTTTCGGCCTGCCATCTTTCGTTTCGGAGCGAATACAAGCTGCATCTGACTATGTCAGATGAGCTAAAAATGTACTCCTTAAGTTTGTCATGCTTCCACATACAAACATACAAACACCATATAAGCACATTTAAACATAGATTCTATCTAACCAAATTAGCTATATAAATCAAACCGTGGGCACTTGTATAAGTCCAACATAGAGGATTTTAGCCAAGGAATTTATTTTCATACCTCATCTAAAATGTCTTGTAGTTTTCCATCATTAATCACATCTGGCTTTATAATAGCTAGTGTCACTTCTTTCTTTTGTTGATCTTAGAATAAATATATTACTGTTATTAATAAATTACTCGGTGTCAAAAAAATATATACATTGCAATATTAAGTAATTCTGTTCATGAAGCATATACAATAAATGTTTAATTTATACACTAAATATTTTTAAGGCATTGATATTCCAGTTTATCTAATTATTTACTGAAAATGGAGCCATGTACATAATGCAAATAAATGTACGTCAAATTTTACCGCTCATTTTTAATGAGTCACTTATTCCCATAATAAATACTACAGGTTTTACCTTCTGGTACACTTTTCTCTGCCTCTTTCTGAGAATCTAGTAATACAAATTTTCATAATTAATCAATACAGTAATCTGGGTCAGAATTGATCTTGGCAAAAAAAAAAACTGTCAGGTCGTTACTGACACCACTAAATTGGTAATATGTTCCATGCACCTTGAGAAATTGTGAGAAATTCCGAGGTTACCACCGCACTTTCATGCAAAACGCGCGTACGATATGTACTGCATGCCGTTACTAAGCTATGTGTCAACAAACACGTGCCTAAATGCAAGGTGTGTAACAAGGGAACGGGGCTATTTTCGGTCGCGCGGCAATTTCAACTATCACTGGCAGATGACAGCTGTAGGAGGGTTGATGCTGATTGATACTGGCTTAGTGAATATCATGAAAATTCTGGTTGTATCATGTCTCTGACGTCATCAGTGACATCAGCTGCTGCTCACTACACGTGTACGCGGGCAATCAAAACGCTCGAAAAGTTCACATGTACCGTTATATGGAGAAATGAGCATATATACAGAGGTGGCACATAGTGTTAGCCATCGAATAAAGTTGAAAATGAAAAATCGGTAAAATTTTGCCTAAAACTATCCTTAAAAGTGCACTATGTATAAGCTTTGAATGAGGAGTGTTTTTAAAACTTTTTGTCAGCTATATATACTACATCCTTTGAACTTCTAGCATGAGACTAAAACAGGCTAAACTGACTAACCTTATTCTTATGAATTCTCTCATGATATGAAGGTCAATATGGAAATATGTATGCCTGCATATGTGCGTGTTTCTTCATGTGTGTATAAATTATGTGTTTATGCGCGATTGTGGGTGCGTGCATGTACATGTTTGCGTGCGTGTGCATGCATGTGTGTAGAATACATAATAATAGTAGGAGTACAATACCTTTTTTTTTCACATTTTACTACCTAGTCCCTACCTTGCTCTTCTTCCATTGTTTCATCCAAGTTCACAGATGTGTTCATTGTTGCACCCGTATCAACTATCTAAAAATCATAATAAATCTAAAACACAAGTTTGGAATGAAATGACTATGACATTGATATTCACACTGCATAGATGATAGTTGCCATTGATGATGACTGAAACAAACATGACAACAATATATATGTATACAATCAGGCTTTCATTTTTAAGGGGCGCGAATCCGGCCCGCTCTGCCGCTCCACTCCGCCGCCCCACCCGAAAGTGGTGCCATGCGTCCGTGCGCCGCCATCCATCGCCGCCTCATAAAAGTCGGCTCTGGATTTGGAAATCGCGCACTCAAAAGTATGTCTATTACGGTTTGACAAATACACGCGCTCCATAGCAGTTCCTCCAATTGTAGCGTCGGAGGCACTACAAAAAAAAGCGTTACGGCCCGAACACACAACGAATTTGTTGGTTGGTTAACGGAACTGACGGACTGATGCCCAGAGTTACAGCCCCCGTCCCTTGCGTTTACTAGCCTCTGGCTATTATGATTATCTTATATTATATAAATACCCCACACTCAAACACACAGAATCCAAATACCACGGTACCTATACCCGGCTAGCCACAAGTTACCCCTGTCCTCGTTTTCTACTATACGTGCGCTGAGAAATAGCTTGGTTTTTGCCGACTGTGAAACCAGTCCCGCTAGGGTGCGACGGCGCTACATACGCTGGCTAAGCCTACGCTACAAGTAACTTTGCGCTAGTTTGTTTGATATGCGATTGTTGACGTGAGATTATTTCCATGGTGCCTGAAATATTGCAGGCTACATGGCGCATTAGATATCTCTCAAGGGATGCAAAATGCCAGAATAAATAAAACAAGTTTATTTTTTACATCGCATCAACGTCTTTTATTAATCTGTGCTGCTAGTAGTTGGGTGTTCGGATTTGATAAAAGGATACCTGTACAATACCTTGACCGGAGCCATTGAATGAATGCAAGGCTGAGCTGAAGCATGCAATGATTAATCAGTCGATTGCACATGACATCCCAATTTCTCGTTTTGGCATTTTCACTTCTAGGACTGCAGGCATTGGTCATGAGTTCCATCATCACACCCAAGATCTGGCATGATTGCCGAGAGCCTCAAGGCAGCTCTCCATCATCCCTTTTAAAGGTGCTGATTTTGTTTAGCTGGAGCTCTCCATTCATGCCCCTCTAAAAAAAGGCGCTGTGATTTTGCTAGCTGCTCCGAGCCTCTCCATCATGCCTTCTTAAGGGGTGTGTATTATGCGAGCTGCGAAAAGACCCCTATGCCCGTGTCCTAGGGGAGTCATTAGTAGGTCCTCCTGCTACTTTTTCAAATTGTGCTGAAAGCCTGCTATTACATACATACAAATTATGTGTGTGTGTGTGTGGTGTGACTGTGTGTCGGTGCTGTGTGGTGGGCTGTGTGTGTGTGTGCCTGTTGTGCTGCGTGTGCCGTGTGCTGTCCGTCGTCGCTGCCTGCGCTGTCGCGTGTGCGTTTGCCCATGTGTGTGTGTGAACACAAATTCTCACCGATTTCCTTTTCTCGTCTCCTGCAATGACTCGTGGTCTCCTTGTTCAACTCACTTACAAGTGTTCTCACAAGAAGTGGAGCATTGACTCCTCTCATGACGTTTACTAGTTTTCCTCCCCTAAATGAGACATATGTTATAGCAAAACTTAAACAAACATGAATCATTAGTATCAATAGTTTCGCTTACAAACTGTCGTAGCTCACATTATATTTGGATCATCTCATCATTTACCACACACAATACACTCTATGTCTAGCTCTACTTACAGCATAAAAGAGAAGGCACGTCTCGCATCTACCCTGGTACGACTCCAGAGCATCAACTGTATCTGCTTTTGCCTATATTTGGCATACAAGTACATGCTTACCAAAGCATGAAGAAAATATAGTAATGCTAGACCATGTAGCGCATTTCGATTAAAAAAAATAGGAGAAATGTAACATTATGAAATTTTTTGTTTACAGACTTAATTGTTCACAAACAACATTGAAGATTCCCCATTTTATATATGAATAGACTACGATAATTTGCATTCCAACATACCACAGCAAAGTTGAGAAGGTCACTCCCAGTTTCCAACTTAACTTTCTTGAAAATGCTCTCTAAGGCTTTACATGGTCCACACCATTTTTGATGATACACATCCCACAACTATTTAATTAAAAAAAAAACCATTTTCTTATTAATATTATTTATTGCTAGTCTTATATACTAAACTACTGCTACTGCTACTACTGCCCTACTCAATAATATCTGTTAAAATATATAATAATATAACAAACGAGTTCAACCTTTCCTATCTCGGTCACTTAGGACATCTACAGTCTGATATTATCATTGTTTCCTATGTGCTCCCCCTTCTGTGTGATCTGGTGCGGTTGGTGTGTAGCGTGTATGCTGTGACTACACCGAAGAGCTACTGAGTGGCCAGGTCCACCTAATATGTGCAGTATCTCGAGCTATTACAGGCAGACAGTAATACTCGAATGAATGTAACTCAACGAATTGTGAGGTTAGGAATCCAAACGCCATGGCTCTCGGACTGTGTTACACGTATAGGGCCACGCCCTCCAACGTGTGAGCGGAGAGGAACTGCCGAGGGTAAAGCGCCTACCTCTGTTGGGTCTTCATGTTATTGCTATTCTAGCCCCAGGACCAGATGCCACTATAAACATTGGCACTACCACTGCTAATACAAACACCGCTCAAAACGCTCACACTGACCAGACCAAAGCTTATAAAACAGTAGCGCCTAGCTATGCTTGATGAGGGTCAACTTGCTCCCACAGCGGTACTGCCGGAACGTACCCTAAGATATCGGTCCGCTTATACTTGCAACATACCCTGCGGTCTTATCTAATATGCCCCGCGACCCGTTACCTCGCCTACTCCACTAATCGAGTCTGTGAGGGGTAGTCGCCTTACGCCTACTCCCTAAACCCTAACCATATCAAATAATATATGTTACGCAGGGTACGTTCGCCGCTTTCACCGGACCGTACCCAGAGGTACGTCGGCAGTACCTGGGGCGGACATAGGCGCCTATGCAGCGCCCTAGCTAATAAGTAGTATTTTAATAACCCATTTACACATTATGCATTATCCAGTTAATCATTGTTTTTTTGCAAAAAACCTTTAACACAAGCCCACTGGCAAGTTACAACTGTACTGTTAACCACAATAAAGTTACAAACCTGCTGAGTCCTTGTTCGTAAGCATTCGCCCCTCCCATTCTTCCTGTGTTTCATATTCTACCTACGATTCAGTATAAATGGTTTACATAAGCTTTTCAACAACGAGCGGTCGCTTACTGATTTACACAGTCGGCTGATATATGCCCGGCAGCGGCCGTATATCTGACGGCTGCGGCCACGCCGTCTTTCGCATATCCTAAATGCCCAGCGCCAGTTTTTAATTTTTAGCGTTATCTTCAAGTAAACAAGGGTTAGGGTAGAGCTTAGGAATGCTAGCGTTTAGGCGTTTAGGCGTTAGGTTTATGGCTAGAGTTAGGGTTTTTGTTATCGTTTAGGGCTGTAGCCGCCCGCTTAGAGTTAGTGCGTTAAGCAATCTGGCGGCGCATTTTAGGCAAACGGTAAGACCGTGCGGCTGGCTGCCGGCATATCAAGGCCAACAGCGCTCACATTTACGATTGACATTATACATTGTCGATTATTATGAATCACTCTGTCAATCACTAAATCTAGCTCACATTTATCAATATCATGCACCACGCCCACATGCTCATGAAATGCCGGTTTAACCTTAACCATAATATTATACATGTTATTAAAAGGTTAATTAGGGTGGCATTCAACCTAATCAGGACACCGCAGACAATCGCAATCCCACTCCGTGTCATCTTCACCTGAAAAGGCTTGCGTTTCTTTCTTTCGGCCCTGCCATTCTTCGTTTCGGAGCGACTGATATACCGTATATTAACAGATATTACGACTTCTTCATTTTTGTGCACTATTTGCAGCCTGAGGAAAATAAATATGCATACACTAATTCTTTCATGTTACTTTAAACATTAAAACCACGCAATATGTAATCACTGTGAATATAGTCTATAGACCCGTCAACTCTACTCGACATCCAGCCATGTGTTTATCGTCGCCATGCGCACACTTGGCTCGTATACAGCTGTACGACATCTATTGGCTAGCGCCTTAATTAAAATACTTTTCTTTTCGCTTTACATTTCTATAGCATAAATTTTCACCAGCGAAGAAGTCGCTTATCATAGAAATGCATATAGGCTAGCACTTCCACTATATTGTATTACTATTGCGTCGTGACAGCAGCTCTGGCTTCGAAAAACTAGGGGCGAAATAGTATATAATAAGCTTATAACTTTATATCGCACTGTGTCACTAGTGTGTGTTAGGGATGTAAGGTATCTATACTATCCATCAGCACAGGCATCCGTGCACCAGATCAATGTGATATCCAATATTATCGAAGGGTACCGATGCGATAATGAGACATTTTTTTGCTATCTTGATATTATATCAATGTTGTAATATATATTATATACAGTAAAGAGTCAAAAATCGGATGCCAGAAATCCTGATCCTCTCTAAAAATCTGACCTTTTAGAAACCTTCGCTGTTCATTGACATTTCGTTACTGGTATTTTATTACACTGCTTCATGTTTGTTCTAAGCATGATTTCAAGCATTGATGGGCCTACATGTCTCTTTTTATGTAGTAAACTTTTTTAATGTTTATCATTGTGTGTCAAGTCAGTTGACTTTATTATCTTTAAAAACTACTTGTTGTTGCATCAATATGACAGCATGGCTGTATTTGCTACATAAATAAACTATCAGAAATTTTCCTGTCATCTCTTCTTCATTCATCCTTAAACCTTGAATTTTATAAAGTACTGGGGCCCTGGGAATCTGCGAAAATCCCGAACCGACCAACATCTCAATCTCGCTGAGCAAGATCGCGGATTTTCAGACTTCTTACTTGTAATATAAATATAATTAACAATGCTAGATGCGGTTTAGAACGGATGTTGTTAAATAATAAAATCAGTTCTGAACAAGGAACGACGTTCTGCCTATATGTCAACAACTGCCCAGCTCTAATTGACATCTCTAACGCTTGGGCTGTGTAGATGATGTAGTCAACGTTCTACCTCGATCTATCCACAGCAGAATTCAGTCGCCAATGCAGACTCATACGTACACAAATTTATCACGTGATTGCAATGAATTTTTATTGAAATACTATTATGACTGCGATATATCTGTATGCGGCTATAAAACCATACTACTCCTAAACGTAATGGGAATTATTTTAAGTAAAAATGCGTTGCCCATATATCTCCCATTGATTAGGCTCTTTACTATGTTTGTTAAAAATACAAAAACAACTTATTCGTCCAGTATACACTTTTTACAAGCTGGAAACTTGCATTGATGCAATTAAATTTTACAGAGGTAATATTTTTTGTATTAATTTTAGCTTGCTGTGCTATAGCAACACTTGTATACATGTCATCTTTCAAATACACTGAGCCGTGTTCAGAGGCGAAATCTCTGCTGTATAGTTAACATTTAACTATACTGTGACCCAGTCAGTAATATTTCTTTGAATAGACCAACTACAAGACATATGAAGAGTATTATCATGAACTCATGTTAAACCCTGAATATGATATATACATCTTATTTACACAAAAAACATGTTTGGACGTACAGTACTTCTTTCAGTAACACTGCGTCACATCTCGACAGAACATTTACTAGGAACAACATTTCCAATCTATGGATGCCACAGAATCACGCATGAGCCTGCTGTTACGTTTCTCCTGGCCCTTATAAAGTTAGATGGCAGACGTATTTAAAATTTCAGTCCTTAAACTCATAAACAGGATTTTCTTTTAGCCAGGATAATATCTCTCCTTTTAGCCATTTTGGCTAAATCAATTGCAACCATAACTATACTCTTCTGTTTCTTAGGGCTTGGTCACTTTGTTTTGCTTTTGGATTTTGATTTACTACTCGCCACTATATAGTGCCTCCCGCTGGAAGATGACTCTTTTTTCTTTATTCCCGTCTTTCTTCGCTCTTTTCCTTCTCTTTCCCTTTTCATTTCAAGTGTTTTTCTTGCCCCTAAAAATAAAAAGATACAATCAATATCAAGCAATACAGCAGAGGACTTTGATGCGACAAGACAATGCGATTGCAGTTCAGCTATTCCATGATAAGAATCATTCGCGCGGGGTTGCTGATCATGCCGAAGCATCATTACATGGCAATTTTGACAGTTTTTTTGGCACTTAGCACACTATTCCAGGCATATATGAAGCTGACAGTTTAAATTTACTCTAGCCATATTGAGATTAATTGAAATACAAGTACAACAAGTGCCGCCCATAGCGACAGCGCTCATCTTAACGTCTAACTGCGGTCACGTCCTGTGGTGGATGTCGTAGGGATCTAGTAAACCCTGCTTAGTCGCCAAATGTGCTTCACATACAACGCCGAAAAAGTGGAATGGCACACGGATGGTATCAGCAACTTCCTCAAAAGAATGTTTCGTTGAGGATCGTTATGAAAGTTGCCCACGAGATGGCTGCGGTACGTTTATAGGTCTTCAGATTAAAGATGAGAGCTCCCATCATTCGCTAGATGTAGCCACAAACTTTATTGTGCCAAGACAGAATAAGGTAAGCCACTCACCATTTACCTACGCACAAGCCTACGGCTGCAAATTGCAATAGAGAGCTGCCACCCTGCACACCAATTAACGGGCAAGGCAAAAACTGCCAGCCACCAGCTGCATACGCTTTTACATGTTAACATACTGACAGTACAGAAATGACATAGAAATTATACCGATTTAAGGAACATACCACCTTTTAACGCCAAATTAAGCTTTTAAAATTTCACTGTGACATTGTCAGCGCTCATACAGCTCCAGGCCAAATGTATAGCATTCTAACTAGCGAAACCGGCAGTCAATATTCTTTCTAACAGACAGTCAACAAATCCAAGTTTAACCACCTCCTCTTGAGGGTCAAAAGGTTTATCCCGACACTTACTCTTCGGCATGTCAGCAGAAGAGGACATTCATCTGTCCTTTCAATAAAGCCAATAAAAATTGCTAAGCGTCGACCGCCGTTGGAAAACAAAACAAAGGTTTTCAAATCGCGTCTCCGTCAGGACCATGCTTCCTGCGAGAACAATGTCTAAAATCTGCCCATGGCGCCCACCTGTCATCTTGTGACTCATGTGACCGTCCCAAATGTTTCGGCCACAGTGGATCGGCTTTTTGCTACACCATTCGATGCCTAGTAGCACCGACTATCTAGCGGATAGGTCGAGCCAGTTTAGGATTTGCGCTGCGCGCCAAGTTCTGCATTTCCGTCCCCTAAAAAAATACCTTAAGTTAAGGGCAGTGAAATGGTTCCCCTTCTTTTACCACCTCTTGACGCTTTTGACTGTTGAACCCCAGCTTTCAACATCCCCAACTTCTCTGTTTCGCGGATTACCCCCCCACATCCCGAATATCGGTGACCGTCGTCCGCAGCGCGGTTAAATTGTGGCTCCAACTGTTGACGGCGCCCGGGACGCACGACGACGACGGATCGAGACGGGTGACGGACGGAACCGAGGACGATCAAGCCGATTCTACAAGCTGCATCTGACTATGTGCAGATGGAGCTAAAATTAATAGTTATGATTGAATGATACAGTATAATTGGTGTATATTAATATGGCATCTCGTTTGTACTGACTGCTGCTCTGAAATAATAGCAACTAGGCTAGTAAAACTGTTGATCTGCCTATTACAGGCGGGGACGCCACGCCCACGGCGCATTCACAAGCCTCACGTGCAGGTACATGCACAAACCCAGGTCAGGCACATTCACAAGCCCACAGTTCACGGCACATTCACAAGCCCACGTGCAGGCCCACATCACAAGCCCGACGTCAGGCAGCATTCACAAGACCAAGGTCAGGCACTATTCACAAGGCCTATGTCAGGACACATTCCAGCAACGCCCACATCAGGCACATTCACGATCCCACGTCAGGCACAGTCACAAGCCCACATCAGGCACATTCACAAGCCCACGTCAGGCACAGATTCTGCCAAATGACTGCTCACGAACATTACCTTGAGACTATTGCCTCCACTGGTGCTGGGTGCCTCCTTTGGCTCCTGCTTTACATCAGTCAGCAACGGGCCATTTATGCCAAGCCCGTCTTTGTCGTCACCTGCATCATAC